AAAAACATTCAAACATGCCTTATGCTTATGCATGGAAAAGAAATCCAAGGCACCATGCACTACCACACAGAGAAAGAAGCGTTCATTTCACCTTCTCACATCTACAGTACAGTGCATTAAAAAGAAGTTGAGAAGAACGTCATTTGGGAAAAGTAAGGCAGCAATGGATGGAGAGTTCGGGTGCAGAAAAGGTCAAATCTGATGTGCCTACCAAACGTGTTGTAAGAAAACAAGAAAACATATTTCAGTACAAACACAAAATGCCTGCATGTCAACAAAAATTCCAAGCATTCTCCACTAAACGAGCTGTAGAACACAGTATATGTGGTTAAATGTTATATAGAATAGTTATATATTTTGTAAGGAAGAATATGTAAATCAGGTGATGCCAACAGGAATTTTCCCAGTATTCACCTGAAATCATGAGTAAAGCTTGCCTGTCTTTCTGTTCAGCTGCTGAAGCTTGAATTTCTGCAACACATCCTTGTTTCCAAGGTTTTTGCAGCAGCTACACGTTTTGATTCTTACAACAGCCAATTCAGTACCACTTCAAATTTGGAAATACTTTTTGAAATTGTTTGGCCAGTGGCAAGAAAATAATCTGAGTAATGGACACTTTGAAAGAATTGATTAATTTTCAAGTGCCATTAGTTTTAATAACAAACATAAACAGACATATGCACAATATTCGTTTTTTTCTTAGCACAGCACCAGCTTTCTGTTTACAGCCAATCTGCATAGTCAGAAATCAATCTGATCTCTGCACTGTCTCCAACTTCAGGAACAGAGTTAACAAATGAAATAATGGAATTTTTTAACTTTTTGCAAAAAAAGGAGGTGGAGAATGAGGGCACAGATCCTGCTATCTCTCACAACAGTTTCAGAATAGTTATCACAATTTAAAATGAAAATGAGGTATCTTCTAGTACTAGACCTTCACATCTCTGTAGGTATTCAGTCACCCAGCTCTTCCAAGAGTCAATTTCCTTTATGACAACTATGACCCAAACAGATACAGTCCCTCTTTGGCAAAGTTATTCAAATACTTAGCAAATGAGCTCCTACTACTACCATGTGTTTGTACACACACACCAAAAGCACTTAAGGACAGGCTTCTCTCTCTCACTACACTCCTGCAAGTGGCATAGTGGCAAAAGAAAAGAAACAACTCCTACACAGACAAGTCCTTCACGTGAGTAACTCCGATGAGTGTTTTTGTTATGTTTGACAGATACTTTGTAACCCAATAAAAATCAGTTACACATAGAGAATGAAAAAAAGAAAAACAATTTATTTTCTATTGTGTCATCTATTGAAGGCTGGCAACCAAGCAATATCTTTATAAAGAGGAACGGGACACTGCAGCTGTGTCAGGGTGTCAGCACAAGTACCAGCACTACGATGGGTACAGACCAGGTCCACCTCCTTCAGGCTTTGATTTAGCAAGTCAGCAGCAATGGAGATTAGACCATATTGCAGTCTGGATCCTGGACTGTTTCCATGATACAGCAATATCCTTGAGAGGGAGCAAGATAGAGGAGGAGTGACGAGACATCTGAAAGGTTAGGGCCGGTTTTAATGCCATGGCTACCTGATGTTAGATTCCAATCAAAAAGCTTTTGTTTTTGCTTTTCCCAGCCTACTCAAGTAGTACATTCCTGAACTCCATTGATTAAAAAAAAAAAAAAAAAAGATCATCTACAATTTTATAGTGTCTTGTTTAAATTAAAGCATATATATAAAGCAAATATAAGGACAGAAGGATTACTGCTGTCAATTCTCAGAGGCATCCTCCTTGAAAAAGAGCTACATTAAAGTACTAGTGTCAAAGTTTCAATGTTCATTGTTTTTCCTGGAATAAATTCAAGTCTTTGAACTCCTCCAATTTCAAATTGCAAATCAACTAACTAGATGGTAGCTACTACTGATTAAATGGTGGTTGCATAATCAGCCAGAAAGACATTTAGAAGTTATATATATTTCAAAGTATTTTACTTTTGGTTTTGGTTTGTTTGTTTTTGAAGGTATGTAAAGCCTCCTTTTAGTTTCAGAATAGCTTCCTTAACTCCTTATACACCACAAGGCTGGAATGTACTTCAGCTGTTAAGTGCCATTCCATGTATTTTCGAAACACTGGCACTCAGCAGTTAGTCTTCAAAGGTTTAGAATATTTTATACCTTTTCATACAAGTTAATGCATACTTGAAAGATATTCACTTAATTCTCTTGCTTTCTTGACTTACAAGGAAATCTCTGCACAGTTAGTGAGAAAAGAGAAATTTCAAAATGGACCAATTCTAGGTATGAAGCAACACTCCGTGTTACTCCTAAAATGTTATTCTTCTGACTGAAGTAAAAGTTCTCTTATTCTCTTTTCTAGTTTGTACCTGACATATAAAGAAGAATGGATTTTCCACTTATACTGGATGATGCATAAGTAAAAGCAGTGAATAACCTAGTGAACAAAGACACACAACAAAACAATAAAACACGAAAGAACTTTAGACAAATTCAGATCTTCATCAGATTTTAAGAGATTTTTTAGTATTTATAGGAATGGAACTGAAGTCGAAAAATAAACACTAAGAAATCCATACCATTTATTCATAAGTGTATACTCAGATGTTTCATATGATGATTTATATGGCCTAACATACAAATTACTATAATCACAATTCTGGTATTAAAATACAATTTGAATTCACTCAGTAAAAAGTCGTGATACAGTTTAGTGAAAGGAACTTTTAGTGTCATAACATCACCTCCTAAATACACACAAGGAAGACTCCACTGCACTGCAGTGTGAATACCAGAGCTGGTCTGCCTGCAAAAGCAGACAGGCACATTTTCTGTTTCACTCACAAGCAGCTAAACTTGGGTGACTTCCTGCCTCCTCCTCAGGATTCACCCCCTTTTAACATCCACAGCTTCAACTGCAAAAAGCTTATTTAAAGTAAGTGCTTCCGCTTCTAAGCTATATTAAAAATATCTACAATCCTCTGTTTGAAAAATTTCATATCATCTTTACATTTTTATATTAAATTAAAATTTGAAGTGCGTTAAAAAGCAGAATGGAAAGATCTTGTACCTAACGTATATAAACAAAATATCAGGATACATGCTAAATTTAAAAATAAAGTATTACAAATCGTTAAAAAGTATGCTCTAAATTTGTCCCTATTTATACACACATAAATATTTAAAGTAGCAGTCCTCTGCTGGGTTCTGGTAAATTCAAGTGAAAACAAACAACAAAAAGAGAAGGAACCCATAAAAGCAGCAATAACTGAAAGCCTGGCACATTGACCATATTAGGCAATCTTGAAAGAACCGGGATTGGCTCTAAATTAAGAAAGGAAGCTAAAAGATATAATGGTAGAAGTATGTAAAATCATGATTGGCACTGATTTGTATTTCCCTAACATCTCTTTTTCTTTTCTACTATTTCTAGCAGTGGCCTAAAATTGATATGGCCTAAATAAAACTGATAGATGACATTTAAAATTAAATTCATAATGCGTAATTATCTTGTAAACTACAAGTGAGCATTGTACTAAAGATTGGAAAAAAGAAAAAAGACTGCATGTTCATGCACCATCAGCTTTACTACGAAGGACTAAAGTGTACACAGAACAAAATCAGATTTTTAAAGTTTATGCCAGACCAGCTGATATGTTCTAGGAAAAATCTAACTCCTCTATAGGCCAGATGTTCCTTAGTGAACCATTATGTACTTCTTTGTGGGGTTGCGGTTGGCATTTTTTTGGTTGCTTGGTAGGTTTGGGATTGTTTTCTTCATTTTGTTTCATTTTGCTATATGCAGAAGATGTCAGATTAAATGGACTACTTCCATTAGCAGCCTTCCATCAAAACAATTCAAAACATGGAATCTAGCTTATTCCTTACTACGATTGTCGCTGTGATTCTTTCAATACATGTGTATTAATTGTCTTTTGTGCAGGTGTGAAAACACTAACTCTGGTAAAGGACAAATGGGAAGTTTTAGAACATTCAACTCCTATTGCAATTAAATGATGAAAATGGAACTGAGATGTAATTCTCATATCACGCACTACGGCAGCATTACTCCATTACTTTGAGAAGCTTAGTGACAATTCCCACCAGGACATCTCAGAATACTTTAAAATTTGGATGTCCTTTCTTCAACCAGCACATGAAAATCTCAAACTCTTTACAGACACTGCATGATTTACCTTTACCTCTTGTTTACGTACATGAATGAATAAGAATTGTTTTTGGAACAAAATGCTTTCCCTATCCAGAATTCCATCATTTCAATCAAAAAGCAATTTTCCAACAAAACAAAAAGCTCTGCAAAATCTATGTGCTTTCAATAACAAATGCCAGAAATGTACTTAACAAACATCTGTGCAAAGTTCTGAAGCTTTTAAGTATGGAAAGTGGTATTCCTTTTTTCATTTTTTTGAATGATGACTGAATTTAATATTAATCTTTTAATAGAAGCCTTATTTAAATCATAAAGGACCTCCCATGCAGGATCTAAAAGGATCTATAGAGCAGGTATAATGGAGATTGTATACTTGAATACATACTGTTGGTCTTCATGCACATTTATCCTGCAGCACAATGTTAAAATAAGTGATAACTGAAGAGATTTGTAAAAAAATTATACAAATCAACATTATAAACATCAGGAATTTCACTGTTATCAATCACCTTCTAACAGTCTTTCTAAGATTTACTTTCTAATAGTAAAATAAAAAACAGTATCAAAGAATAGTTCATGGTTAAGGTACTTTAAGTTAATACAAGTTCATGTTACATATATTTTAATCAAAGGGTCTAATAACAACTAGATGAATACAAAATGGACTGTCACGCTTTTCAATCAAAACATTAATACTTTATTAATACAGAAGCCTCATGATTGCACTATCCACAACCGTTAAAAATGTTTGTAAGGATAAAATACAAATCCTAAACAAAAACAGCAACAAAAATGGTGAATCAAATCTTACCCATTCTTGAAATATAAAACATGCGCCCTCTGTAGTCCTGTTTCCAAGAAAAAACCAAGTTCCTGTTCATGTGTAGTAGGCCCTGGCTTAGGGCTTCTGTTCTGTATATTAGCATTCATTATCTACAAGTACAAAAGACAGAAATGCTGACAACAAAAATTAACAAGTTTTGTAATTTCAGTAAAAGCTTTCAATGAAATCAAAACCTTGAAAGAGTGATAAATGAAGCATTTACTTATCAGTCACCAAAATTAAAAAGGAAGCTAAGAATTTGGTGAATCTAGTGAAAGAGAACTTTCAGAAAGGTCATCCTGCAATGACACAATGGAAAATGAATCTGAACAGATGAGAAAACAACCAGATGAGTAACCAAATGAGTAACCATGCAATTCTTCAGCTCTACAGAGATTAGCTTACCCTTTCTATCTCCTGAAGGTACAGAAGAGCAATATCCCCAGCTTTCTCATAGCACATAACAATTTCTTGTTCACGGTCCACATGGAGGTTGCTAGCTGAAGAAGAAATTGGCAGCTTCTCAAGACAGAGACCTGAATATAAAACAATTTCATAAGAAGAATTAAAAAGTAACATCATATAGTACTACAATGCTACATAATAATGAGACCCTTCAATGAGGGGAAGAAACAAAAACACACACAAATAAATGAAGTTGTGGTCCTCTGATACAGACACAGACAAATAAATCATACTGATGCCTCCTCAAAAAAAAAAAAAAAAAAAAAAAAATTAAAATTAAAAAAATTTTTTTTGCAACTTTGATTTGAAAGAACATTATGATGGTCTACCAAAGAAGCGTCCAATGTGTTTCTATATTAGTTTTAAATCACTTCATACAAATCTTCACTTTTCCTGAGTGAACACAGCAACAAAAGAAGTGACAAATTCCTCTTAAATGTCCCTTCATATACACCTTTATAAGGTCCTTCATTGAAAATAAATGCAGCATAAGATACTATGCAGGCAGCAGTTTAAGCAGTAGATGAGTAGGAGAAATTGTTGTGACAAATATCCAAATATATATATATATATATATGTATATGAATGCCCCAAAATAACTCAGTATAGCCAACTTTACTAAAAAGTTCCTCACTCATCAAGCACAGAAGCCTTTTTCCTCATAGGATTTCAGTGGGCTTATCCAACAAAAATGTTATTTGGTGCTTTGATAGATAAAAGAAAAAAAAAAAAAGAAAAAAACAAAGAAAAAAAACCCTGTTTGCTTGTCTAAAATCAAAGCCCAGCAGCTCTCAATAACCAATTATGTCTCTTACACAATTCACACTTCTATTAGAGTTATTTTCAAAATACTTAGGGAAACCAGCTGGAAAGAATCTCAAGAACAATAACCCACCTGACCAAGGAATCAACCAACCCCAATTTTTTAACTAGCTCCAGCTCTAGGGATGTCTTGACCTTCCTATGCAATTTATTATAGAAATCAATTATTCTTAAATTATTATTTTTTCCTAATGTCTAAATCCCTCTCCCTACATTAACTACTCCTAGTCTTCTTCACAGAGTTTATTCCTTTATTTACAAAACCTCTTTTTAAATGTCAAGAGAAAGAGAAACATGTCTGCTACAAGGAACATCAATTCTCACTCTTGCCATTCTGCCTTGACTGCTAATCATTTTCATCTCCTCTGGACACTTTACAGCAGGTTATACCTATTTTGACTTTCTGATCCAAAACTGGATACATATCTCCATTATCTCTGCTTGAAGCCTCAACAGTACTAAGCAGAAAAGATGAAAAAAATCCTGCATTTAATGTAGGATACTTTTTAATACAAATGAACAGAACTGTAGTGCCTTCTCCTCTACTTAAAATATGCAGCAGATCATCAGGTCAATCACACAAAACATGACTCATCAATTACACCCATTGTACAATTTTTCAAATACTGTTTTGCATTAGAAGTGTAGCACTTTTCACATATTCTTAAGAGACTTATTTTGGGTCATTATTCCACCTTGTCAGTAGTAAATGTTGATCTAGAAGAGCATTCAACTGCTCCCATATTGGTATAATTCACAATTTAAATGACCATACTCTCCCTTCATCATCTAGGGCTTTTAGAAGCCATGAATTCCATTATTTGAGGGAAAAAAACCACTACATATAATTACAAATATTGGGTACGCACCTGTAGGATGCCAGGTTGTACTAAATCCCATTTTAGTGTGTTGAATGATATCTGTCCATCAGTACTGTAAGGTTTGGAGACAGGTTCACTTGAACTCATTTTCTTATTAAAACATCTTGAGAAAAGACAAGGAATCTGGAGACTATTTACTATTAAACTTGAGCTACACAATATTGGTGAACCCCATATTCTTTTAGAAGATCTGTTAAGATTCAGTACCTCCCCACAAAAGTATAAATCTTTATTAAGAAACGAATAAATAAAACTACATTTCTTGTTCAAGAACATGACTTATGCCTACACCAGAGCTCATTGGCCACCTTCTTTACCACTTAGAAACAACACAAAATCTACACTTCCTATTTGTAAACTACACACCCAGATCAGACACAATCCTGACTTTACTACAAACTGCTCTGTTAGAGAAAAGATAAAATTCAGTATACTTCTCAAAAACCTGTATGTTCCTTAAGCCCAGCAAACATGCAATAGACCACGTCTTACAAGCCTGCCAAATCTGAATACAACAGACACTGGACTTTTTTGACATGCTGTGGTTCTCATCTCACATACCTCTAAAAATTAATTTTAGCAACCTTTACACCAACCTTTGCTAATAAAAACACCAAGAGACTGAAAGCATCAGCTAATTGGTAAGATTCATTCCTCCCTACTCCTCTCCCGTGACAAACAACAAGAGCCCTACAGTAATTCTCCACTACATGAAAAATATTACTCAAACAGCTCTTCGTAGAATTGACATGGATTTATTATTACTATTTTTATAAGTTACGACCACAGTTATAGTCTTTTTAATCTGAAAAATTCAGTATACAGACATTTTCTCATTTTACACAAGATTTTTTTTTTAAGATGTGATAGAATCTCAGAAATAATCACTGCCAGAAACCAGTACAGTAGGAGCACAACATTCTAGCGACCTTTTGATGAAGAACATAATTATATTTCTTATAGTAACCTTATTATACAAGTGCATTCACTGTATTTTTCCTAGGATGTTTCTTGCAACCTGCAAAAATATGTATTTTAAGCACAAAGTGCTTTGGAGCAGGAAGTAAATTGGGAGAACTTCCATGAAATGACGACTTACTAGGATTGATTTATTTGGTTTGTCAACACAGTTCAGTACTGTATCAAAAACAAAAACACACAGACTAGAAGAAAAACCTTTAATAAATTACAATTTCTTTATCAAGTTAAAATAAAACAGTTCCTTCACACTCCAATCATTTATATTTTCTTAAGCACAGCTAATGAAGTGCAAAAGTTAATGCATTAAAATACGGGAACATATTTTTAATTAGAAATAGATATAAATAGTAATATAGCAATAACAACCATATAATATACTGCCCATTTTTCATAAGAGTACTGGGAGAAGATAAACAGTGAATGAAAAATAAGGGATTATTATATTAGCCTCCTGGGAAATAAACAAGCAAGTGACAACATACAGTATCCAAAAACACGTGAAGACACAGTATCACCTTAAATCATCTGCTGAAGTGTTTATATATATTTGGACAAGTCAGTTCTCCCCTTTGTGCTTGTTTCCATCTGCCAGGCAATCATCTCTGCTTCTCTCCCGCAAAAGGGCAGGAATTTCTCTACTATTTATAAACTTTTTTGAGATATTCAGTAAAGAGCTGCATGCCACTTCTATGAAATATTACCGTATTTATTGTATAGGTCATGGCTATTTCTTTATTTAGACTTTATTTTGTTTTATTCGGCAAGAATATTGTGCCAGTTGGTATCACACAAATTGATTTTGATACTCGTGGCTTTTAAGTTTAAGTCCCTCCAACCAAAACCACCTGCAAGTAAAAGCTTTCAACAAATTGGGTCAGTTTTATTTTGGGAAGACATTTATCTCATAAGTATCTAATCCTGATATCAAGCAAGATGACTTCTGAGGGAAAAGAAAGTGAGAAGCACTGAAATGAATACAAGTCCACACCACTGAAGCTTACATGTTTTGCAAAGTAACTCTAAAATCAATTGTCAAAACAGCAAAACAGCAACAAACACTATTTGAACAAGAAAAGGGTATGTCTGGTATTTCAATTACATGCAAAGGTTTTCTTTAAATATTTAAATCCTGAATAATTTATAATTTTTTCTGTGTGTGTAAGGTTCAGAAAGCAAACAGTACATTGCCTAATCACTTATCCCAAGTGACATTCATGTCTCTATGGTACCAGGTTAACCATCTCAACTTTTTTTTTTTTTTTGTTTAATAACTAAATATAATACAAGAGCTAACCAAAATACACACACACATACACTAGCCACTACCTACAAACGATGGTTCCCTGATAAGAATGAGCAATGAACTAACAATTTTTAAGAAGTCCCCATGGAATAGATTTGTATAGCTAACAGTTTTTATCTTGAGAACAATAACAGTAACCATGTTTAATTTATTCAATTACAAATCACTTCTAAAAATTAAAAAAAAAAAAAATTCAAAGCAAACCACTGCAGGAAAACCACTTAACACCCCCATTTCATTTTCCAGAGTAAAACAATAATAAGAACAATAAATAAATTTCTCAAATGTAAAAAGGAATCCACAGAAAACAAAAGGGGGAAAAAGAAAAAAAGCCTGAGGGAAGTCTATCATATTTATAGTGTTGTTTGACCGATGATTTTCCATGATGCCAACTAATGCTTTGCCTGTATAAACGCTAGTACTGAAATAATAATCCTCTGGTTTATCTACTGTCTTCAGTATACAAGTCAAAGGGCAGACAAAAAAAAGCTGGAAGACTATTTTATACTTCAGTAATATTTTCGCAAGTGAGAAAGAGTTGCAACAATACAATGGTGCTCCTGGGTTTGCTTGCTGTTTTCCTTATACACGTAAAACACAAGCCTGAGTATACAGAATTTACTCTTCCCTATGATAAGCAAGGCAGTACTATTAAGTAACTGTAAAACAACAACAATAAAAAACACCCACCAGCCTTTCATCAGTCCTTTTAATGAGTTCTGTATTTAGCTTATATTTTTAGAACAATCAAGTATATGGATTACAGCATGCGCTTATTTGTAGTTTTTTGACAAAAAATTGAAACCCTAGTTAGTGCTATCAACGAACTCCCACAGTTCGTTTCTAAACTTAGAATGAACACTGCTAATTTCACTTAAGGACTTATTTTTACAAGTCTTCAGTAAAAGATTGTGACTTATTTATAGAAAATGTTTTGTTAAAAAGCAAAGTATGAACTTTTTTTCCTTTCCAATTTACAACCGCTATTTGTTAAGTATTATTGAAAGGAGAAAGACTAAGAATAGAGCAGGAATGGAATGGGCTGCCCAGGGAGGAAGTGGAGTCCTTGGAGGTGTTCAAGAAA